CACCCAAGAAAGGAATAAACAGGCAATGGATGTAAAAAGACAGTTCACAGAAGAAAATCGGAGTGGCTACGGAGCGATCCTAGTGAAGAAACACAACCGCAAACAGCAAGATGCCACTTTACACTTATCAGACTGGCTACAATTGGGAAGCTGGAAAATACCAGTTGAGTGCTCCTTGCTAAAGATTGGTGCTTCTCGTGTTACCAGACCCCATTCCCACACTGCTGCTCCAGGACTTGGCTTGGAAATCTGTCTTCTCTCTTTCTCTCTTTTTATTATTTTAGACCGGCATATACCATACCCAGAAAGTGCACACAGCATGAATGTACCGCTTGATGAATTTTCACAAAATGAACATACTCATCCCCACCACCTTGAGAAATAACACACTCCTAGTACAGTAGCAGCCCTCCTTATGCCTCTCTGTCATTACCCTCCTTCTCCCAAAAGCAGCCACTATCCAGATTTCTAACACCACTGATTAGTTTTGCATATTTTAAAATATAAAAATAAGTGAATCACAGTGCCTCCTTTGTCTTTTTGTCTTTGCCTGAACTTATGTCTATGAGATTCATCCATGTTGTTGTGGACTGTACTAATTTCTCATCTTCTTTGCGGTATGACATTCTAATGAATGAATATTCCACAAGTTGCCTGTTCTTCTGTTTCTGGACATTTGTTTTCCCTCCCAGGTTTTGGCTGTCACAAATAATGTTGCATGATCAGATTTACAGCTGATCTTCATTATTTCTGGATTCTGTATTTGTGAATTTGCTTGCTCGCTAGAATTTATTTGTAACCCCAAAATCAATACCTGCAGAACTTTCACCGTCATTCATGGATGTGCACAGAGTGGCTCAAAATTTGAGTCACCCGCTGTGCATGTTCCCCGCTGAGGTTGATCAAGGCATCACTGTGTCTTCTCATCACAGTTCTCATCCTGTAAATAGGTGCACTTTTTGCTGTCTATTTAGTGCCATGTTTTTTGCAGTTTTGTGTATTTTCTTGGTGGTTTTGCTGTTTAAAATGCCCCCCCAGTCTAGTGCTGAAGTGCTGTCGAGTGCTCCCAAGTGCAAGGATGGTGCGATGCGCCTTGTGGAGAATATACTGGTGTTAGATGAGCTTTGTTCAGGCATGAGTTATAGTGCCGTTGACCATGAGTTCAGTGTTCATGAATCAACAAAATATATTAAATAAGGTGTCTTTAAGCAGAAACACACATAAAACAAGATTATATGTTGTCTGGTTGATGAAAACGTGACAAGAGGCTCATGGGAGCATAACCCTATGTCTCCTTTGGGAGTGATTGCTCAGTATCCACTAATTCAGAGCTCGTGGTGACTTTATAGAACATAGCTAATGCGAATAATGAGAATTGACTGTCTATGCATTTCATTGAGTATGTAATGAGCATACTTTGGAGATATTGCGGGTTGGGTTCCAGACCACTGCAATAAAGCGAATATTGCAATAAAACAAGTCACAGGAATTTTTTGGTTTATATAAGCCAATGTATATATAAAAGTGCATATAAAAGTATGTTTACACTATATTGTAGTCTATTAAGTGTGCAATAGCATTATGTCTAATAAAACAATGTATGTACCTTAATTTAAAAATACTTTATCGCTAAAAAATGCCAACTATCATCTGAGCCTTCAGAGAGTTGTAATCTTTGTGCTGTTGGAGGGTCTTGTAAAAACCACAGTATTTGCAAAGCACAGTAGAGTGAAGCACAATAAAATGAGGTATGCCTGTACCTAGGAGTTGCGTTGCTGCATCGTATGATCAACATATTTCCAACATGAGTACAATGTCATAGAGATTTCAAGATGTTGCATTCATGTACACTCCCACCAGCAGTATATGAGAGGACGAGTAGCTCCATATCTTTTCTGACACTTGGTTCATCAAGCTTTTACATCCTAGCCATCTTGTTGATGCGTTGTACATCACACTGTGGTTTACTATGTATGTTCCTCATGGTTAGTGGTGTTGATCATCTTTTCATGTTACTTATTGGCCATTTAGATGTCCTCTTTTGTAAAGTGCCTGTTCAAGTCTTTGCCCTTTTTCAAAACTGGATTGTCTGTCTCTTTCTTACTAACTTGTAGGAGTCCTGTTTATATTTATATTCTGGAATCAGTCCTTTGTTGGTTACATGTTTTACAGATCATTTCTCCCACTCTGTGGCTTACCATTTCATTCTCTCAATGGTGTTTTATTGATGAATATAGTTCTTAATATTAATGAAGTCAAAGTTATCCTTTGTCTCCTTTGTGGTTAGTACTTTTTACATCCTGTTTAAGAGATCTTCGAGTACTACAAAGTCATAAAGATATTATCCTGTATTAATTCTAGAAGTTTTATTGTTTTGTCTTTCACATTTTGATCTACAATCCACCTGAAATTAGTTTTTGTATGGTGTGAGCCAGCAGTCATGATTTGACTTTTTTCCTATAGTGACATCTAATTAACATAGTACAATATGTTGAAAAGATTGTCCTTTCCCCACTACACTTTATCTCTAATAATGCTTTCATGACATGTCATTCCATCCTTTTACTTGCAACCTGTTTGTATCCTTATATTTAATTTGTTTCTTTTAAGCAACATTTTATTGGATTTCAATTTTTTATTCTGGTCTAAAATCTTTGCCTTTTAAATACAGTATTTATCTATTGATATTTAATGTAATTCCTAATATATTTGGGTATAAATATTTGTGTTACCATTTTTCCCGTCTCTATTGTGTTCATTCGTGTCTCTTTATTGCTTTAATTAAAGCAATACTTAAGTACTTTTAATTTTTTAAATTTCTCCCATATTTGTATGTCAGTCATACATTCTTTCTTTTTGTTTGTGAGGAGATTGTCACTGAGCTAACATCTGTGCCAGTCTTCCTCTATTTTATGCGGATGCCGCCACAACGTGGCTTGATGAGTGGTGCTAGGTGCGCATCTGGGATCCAAACCTGTGAACCCCGGGTTGCCTAAGCAGAGCGTGCGAACTTGACCACTGCGCCACCAGGACAGCCTCCAGTTATACATTCTTTTAACCTCTCTGTTTTATGATTGCCATAAAGGATTCAATATGAATCCTTAACATTTTTCTTTTATTTTTTTTAAAGATTTAAAATTTTTTTTTCCCTTTTTCTCCCCAAAACCCCCTGTACATAGTTGTATATTCTTTGTTGTGGGTCCTTCTAGTTGTGGCATGTGGGACGCTGCCTCATCGTGGTTTGATGAGCAGTGCCATGTCCACGCCCAGGATTCGAACCGACGAAACACTGGGCCGCCTGCAGCGGAGCGCACGAACTTAACCACTCAGCCACAGGGCCAGCCCCTGAGTCCTTAACATTTTGAAGTCTAATGTAAATGAGCACTTTTACTACTTTCTGGACGACATGAAGAGCTGAGACTGTTTTAGTTCTTTTTTCTCCCTCTTTCCCTTTGTGCTGGTTGTCACGTATTTTAATTCTACATATATTTTAGACTGAAAAAGATATCATTGCTTTTTATTTGCATCCATATTCACTTAGTTTTACCCACACATTTGCTCTTTCCATTGTTTTTCATTCCTTTATGCCTGTCTTTGCTTCCAGCTGGGATCATTGACTCGTTACGGATATGCTGCCAAGGAAGTATTTCAGTTTTTGTTTATCTGAAAATATTTTTGTTTTTCTTTTATTTTTGAAGGAAATTGAAAATGAGTGTATAATTTCTAGATTGGCAGTTATTTTCTTTCAGCATTTTTAAGACACTGTTTTGCTGTCTTCTAGTTTCCACCGTTTCTGTCACCCACATGACTCATCCTTTGAAGTGAATCTGTTTTTTTCTCTGACTGCTTATAAAAGTTTTGTTCTGTCCTTAGTGTCCAGTTGTTTTGCTATGATGAACCTTGGTGTGTTTTTTCCTTTCATTTTTCCTGCTTTGAGATTGTAGTGCTTCCTAGGTGTGTAGTTTGATGTCCTCTGTCAATGTTTGACAATTCTTAGCTAATCTCTCTTCTAATATTGCTTCTATCTCATTTTTTCTTTTCCCTGCTGTATTCATCATTTATAAACACAGGCTTTAAAATAATGATTATTATGTTCAAGGAAACAGAGGACGTGATGGATAATTTCAGCAGAGAACTGAAATATAGAAAAGAAAATCAAATAAAAGTTATAGAACTGAAAAACAAAGTAACTAAAACTTAGAACAGAGTAGATAAATTGAATAGCAGATTAGAAACAGTAGAAGGAAAGATTATTGAATGGAAGATAAATGTGTAGAAAATATCCAACCTGAAGCTGAATGGATGTATGAAAAAAATATTTTCATTTAAAATCCCAGATTTTTGGCTTCCAAGAAAAATCAAAATTTTTGTCAACGTTGAGTCTACATTTCTTTAGTTAGAATTGAAGCTTCACTTGGCTTGAGCTTATGAAGGACTTCATGCAGAGGGATATGTCCTTTCTACTAGCCAGTCCACGCCTGTTGATTGCTTTCTGCCACTGAGGCTGAATATCAGTTGTTACGGTTTATCTTAGCCCTGCACTGCTTCATTTATTTACATTACGTGAGTGAGTGTGTGTTGGTAAGGGGAAATGGTGGGGAAAGGACAGTCTAGGCAGATGAAATACCACCTGGAAAAGGACTTAGCCAGGGAAAGTTGGGTAGGTCTTGGGACTTAAAGAAAACCAGCAGGGTTGGAGCACAGACATGAGTGGGGGCTGTGTTGTATTGGCCCACTGAGTCTGGGAAAGTACACAGGTTCTTGGACGTCCTTACAGACCAAGTAGCTAAGAAAGACCAATACTTATTTCACAGTTACTTGATTGTATACAAATTTGACTTTTCTGAAACTTCTGGTTGAAATCATTTGTGACAATGTAAAATTAAGTTGTTAGCTGTATGATGACTAGCTAACTTTCAGCCAAGTAGGCAAGCTATTGACTTCGTCTGATGAAACGCCAATGAATTAACTTTTATGCCTTTGTTTCCCTTTCCTCTTAGCTGCAAGTGTCCGCTGCTTGGAAAAGTGTGGGAAGCTGACTTGGAAGCTTGTCGGCTGCTTATCCAGAGCCTGCAGCTCCGGGAGGCCAGGGGCAGCCTGTCTGCAGAAGATGAGAGACAGATGGATGACTCAGGGGGAGCCACCTGTGCAACCGTTCCTGCCATCCCCTCCAGGCCCCACTCTGAAGATGAGAGGAAGACCCCTTTGCAGGCATTCGAAGAATGGAAGGCTTACCTGACCCCATCTCCTCACTGTGCTGGCAGTGAACAGAAAGAGGTCTGTCCATCCTCATAGGCTCAGCAGGGCCCTACTCTGAGGGGTGCTCTGGGGCCACATTCCAAGTGGGGGCAGTAAATATTGGGCGGGCTTTGCCTTGAGCCATACCAACTTTCCAAAGTTTTAATAGCTCTTGAATATGATTACAAAATAATGTAGAATTTTTATAGAAGAAGTTGAAAATGTAGAAGGGCAAAAAGAGGAGCTGGCCCCATGGCTGAGTGGTTAAGTTCCCGCGCTCCGCTTCGGCGGCCCAGGGTTTCACCACTTCAGATCCTGGACGCGGACATGGCACTGCTCCTCAGGCCATGCTGAGGCCACCTCCCACATAGCACAACCAGAGGCGCTCACAACTAGGATATACAACTACGTACTGGGGGGCTTTGGGGAGAAGAAGAAGAAAACAAAAAGGAAGAAGATTGGCAACAGACGTTAGCTCAGGTGCCAATCTTTAAAAAAAAGAAGCAAAAAGAAAAACTTTCGGCATACATAGTTCTATTTTTGGTCTAATTTAGTGGCTAGAGTTAGAGTATATAGTCTAATATATGATTGCTATATATAGCCTACACTATATATGTCATTTATAACATATAGTTACTGTATATACTATGTATTATATATGTCGTATATGATATTTAAGTATATATTTAGAATCTATCTTACAATATATCATTATTTATTAAAATCAAACATTCAGATATATATATAATCAATATATATATAGTGATCATCTCTAAATATATATCTAGCATTGTTTTTGCCAGAACAAGATGATAATGGACGTTTGTCATCTGCTCTTTTCATTTTAAAAAAAGCTTAAAACTTGGCTTGTGATATATATGTTAACAATTAGGGGCTGGCCCAGTGGCGCAGTGATTAAGTTCACATGTTCTGTTTCGGTGGTCCAGGGTTCACCAGTTTGGATCCTGGGTGTGGACATGGCACTGCTTGGCACACCATGCTGTGGTAGGCGTCCCACATATAAAGTAGAGGAAGATGGGCACGGATGTTAGCTCGGGGCCAGTCTTCCTCAACAAAAAGAGGAGGATTGGTGGCCGATGTTAGCTCAGGGCTAATCTTCCTCAAAAAAAAAAATTAAAATGTGGGATTTATTTAACACTTGACCCCAAGGCTGATTTAGATTAACAGAAAGGAACTCCCCTCCCCTCCTCTACGCTCCCCTCCTCAACTCCCTTCCTCTGCCTTTCCCTGCTCTAGGATCCCCTCCCTGGTTCCTCTCCCCCCCCCCCCTCCTCTCACTCACTTTCCCATGGAACCCTACCACGTTTCCTTTCGATGAAAGGGCCCTAGGGATTTTCCCCCCAATTTTAGTGCCATGACAGGAGACTTTAGAGCTGTTTTCTGGCCAGGTTCCCAGGTGTTCTGAATATTGAAAGGAAATAAAGGCGTGGTGAGGCTGGAGGAACCTGTCGCTACATGTCTCACATTTGACGTTAGCTGTGTCCCCTCCTGGGGCCTTTGCCTCCCGCCCTGCCTGCAGGACCTTGGTCTTTCCAGAGCAGGCACTCGCTGACAACGTGTGCTTACAGTCGCTGCCTTCTGGACCCCTTGGAATATTGGTCCTATATTTGAATTGAATAACCTTATGAGCAAGCAGGCTGTTGTCACTCTCTGGACTCCCGCTGGCCTCGTGAAATCAGGCTCTAAACTGAGCTGTAGATGACCTCAACTCCTTTGTCTGCCGAGGTGTTGCTCTTGGCAGAGGTGTTGAAGGCTTGCCACCTGTTGCAGTTGGCCTTGAAAGAATATTCTGGTACGGAAGGAAGTTCTGCCTAAGCAAGGGGCTAGGAGCCCTGAGTGGAAGAAGCTGCGGGCCCTGGAGTGAGTCTTTGAAGGTGGGGCTGGCTCTCCAAAGTGGACTCCCAGGAGCTCAGTGACAGGACAGGCAGGAGCCAAGCCAGTATGTGAGGGGGTCTGCTGGGACAGTGGACACCTCTGGCGGTCAGGACTGATTCAGCAGTTTCCAGCATGTGGGAGGTCGACTCCCTTCCTCCCTCCCTCCCTCCCTCTCTTCATCTTTCCTTCCTTCCCTCCTCACTGTGCCTATGTGTCCCTCCAGGCTCTTGGAGGATGACTTTCCTAGGGGTAGGAGGGTTATTCTTCCTCCATAAAATTATAAGCACCTGCCAATTTGCATAACGTAACAAGCACCTGCCAAGCTGGCTATAGGAAAACAGAGCTATGTTTGCCTAAAAGTAGGAAATTCAGAGTCAAGGATGAATACAGTGGAGCCTTATTATAGAATGGTACTTGAAGTTTCTGGGGAGGACAGGCCCAGGCTGTGACCAAGAGATCAGAACAGCTACAGGCCACAGTGGCTGCTTCTCTGAGCTCCAGGCCCTCCCACGGAGCATCACCGCCCACCACCCCACCCGCCCCCGGCTCCTCGCCACCAACTGAAACGCTGATGATGTCCTGTAGTTTTTGTTGCTCTCTTGGGGCTGGGGGAGAGCAGAGGGGACTGTAAAGCTTTGCAGGCTTTCAGTGCCATCTTCCTGCCCTGTGCCCCGTCAGTCCCGTGTGCAGTTCCTGCGTTGCTGTTCCTGGCTTTACATGCACAGAGGAGGGTGGGCATCTTTTGAATTCCTAAGTGGCAGGAATGTGAAGATGGTGGATATTTTCTGGACATGAAGGAACTTGGGGGGTTGGTGGGACTCTTCTGTCTCTTGATTGTGGTGGTAGTTACATGTCTGTGTGCATGTGTCTAAATCTATAACTTTACACCCAAAAGAGTGAATTTCACTGTATATAACTTCACAAAAATGACTCAAATCTGTAAATTACCATCTCCCTATTTAAAAGCATGGTTATAGGTGTTGGACTCAGTTGCACTTGGCTCAGGTCTTATCAGCAGACAGCAGAGCGTGATGAAAGGAGCCCAAGGCTCTGAGGCCATATACAGGCAATACTTCCTTACCTGCTTAAAAAAAAACCCAAAAACCAAAAAATGAGCATAGTGAACACTGTCTCGTGAGGTTGTGGTGAAGATTTAAATAAAATAATACATCTAAAAGTGAGTGACACAGACATAATAGAGACTTTAAATTGTTTTTGTGTGTGTATCACTCTTTCGGGCAGTCGTAAGTATCGCTAAGAACATTTTTTAATAATATGCCTGGCTTCCTTTACCAAGAAGCAGAAGCGAGCAATGAGTCAGTGGAATTAGTGGAAGATATCCAAGAAAAGGAGGGTTTAATAAAGGAGAAATCTTGTTTGAATTGGATGGAGAATTGCAGACTACTGCAGGTGCAGAGAATCGAGGACCAAGGAAGGTGATTTTGTTTGCCTGCCTAGGTTTTCAGGGAGTCACTGAAATCTGGGTCCTTGGGTATTTATCTGGTGGCTAAAATGTCTATTTGCTTTACAGCTGTGAGTTGGGTCTGTTTCGGAGCTCCCAGCTGGGGCTGGTCATCCCACCCGGGTTTCTCTGTTGAAGCCTGCTGCCCTGAAGGCAGTCAATTTCTTTTTAACCCAAATCTTCCATGAAAAATTGCTGACTTCTTGTGGAGGTCCATAGGGAGATGGATTTTCAAAACCTTCGCTGTGCTCATCCGGCCCACGTGGTTCCATGCATTTGGGTTGTCCTTGGTTATAACAAGTGCTTTGTCATTAATTACAGCTTTCGCTGTGTTTACGGTCCCGCCAGGCTGCCCAGCACCATTTCCCCCATTTTACAGCTGGGCCCATTAAGGCAAAGTAATTTGCTTTGGGCTTTGTTACAGAGGAAGTCAGCGACAGGGCTAAGGGCCAATTTTAGCACGCGCTTCCTCAAATTGTAAGCACCCTCTTCTTTTTCAGTTTCATTACAGCTCTCCTGCAAGCCTTTCCTCAGACTCTGGCAACAATCAGCTGCTGTTGGCCCTGCTTTATAGACATTATAGAAATTGCACGGGGGCCAGACAGGAGCTTGGGAAATCAGTGAGCCAGCTTCCTCCGCTATGAAGTTGCTCCTTTGTACTCGCTGTTCTGGCCATAATACCTGCGTAATTCTTACTTTCCTGTCTGCAGCCTGTCCTGCTGGGGTGCTTTCTGTTTTTACTACGAGTGGGCTCCCCTCCTGTCGAGTTCCCTGGACAGCGTCACTCTCCCCTAACTTCTCACCCCAGCTGCTTCCTTTCCGAGCCAGCAGCTGCCACCAAAAGAGGCTAAAAGAGGCCAAAAAAGGACAAGCACCTCTGAGCCATCTCGCGCAATATTTGAGCAGCCAGTGTGTTAAGATGTCCGAGATGAAAGGAATTAGCCAACCAGACAGTGTAGCTTTGTTTATTACATTATATACATCCCCAGAAATTGTTTTTGATATCTCCCAATTCCTTTTTACTCAATTTCCTGTGAAAAGAAAGCTGGAGAAAGGGATCTATGGCGAAGACGTGTGTCCTCACCATCTTAAACTGATTTCTAATACTAGAAACATCTGCAGTGGTCAAAAGGGCTTCCTCTTCAGTATTGGCTGGTGCAGACTGGATTCTTGCTTTTCTATCACTTCCTGGCTCGCTTGAGCTCTCAGAGGATCAGTTGCCAGTGAAAAGGGGTGAAAAGAGCAGACCCTGGACCACATGATGTCTTGATAGCTCTTTCACCTCCGAGTTTGTGAAGACAACACTCAGGGAAAATTCTCACTTACCTATCAGCTGGCTTTACTCTTTTTGTCTAATGCCTTTTGGAAGAAAATAAAGAGCTGGGGCGTGATAAGACGTTGTACCTTCATTCCAATTTAGCATTTTGTCCTGCAAACCCAGCCGTCTTATCCCAAGAGCAGAGCGGTAGAAGTAATGAGGATGCAGTCGGGATTGGTGCCTGACTGATTAATTAAAAAGCCAGAGAATCACAAAAAGTGATACATGTGCATTTTAACCTTTTTATTTTTTTTTCAGTAAACACATGTATTCATTTACTAATCATTTTCGAGAGGACCAAGACTTTTGGTTTGTATAGGTCTACTGTCTGGCTTTTCACATGGTCCTTCTGGCATAATCCTC